ATAAACATGGGTGTGCATATATCTGCTTGGATGTCAGTTATGGTCTCTTTGGGGTATATTCCCAGTAGTGGAACTGCTGGGTCAAATGGTATCTCTATTTGTAACTTTTTGAGAAAGCATCATCCCGCCTTCCACAGTGGTTGCACCAGATTTTCTCTTAATATAAGTACTTCTAAACCTATTTTGGTTGTTAGGTGCCATCAAGTCAGTTCTGACTCCGAGCAATCTCATTCACAACGGAAAGAATGATTGTCCTCCTGCACCATCCTCACAAGCGTTGCTGTATCTGAGCCCATTGCTGCGGCAGTTTGTCAGTCCATCTCATAGAAGATCTTTTTCATTGACCCTCTATCAACCGTGAAGACAGAAGCCTTATTACCATCACTTTTAAGAGTGTTCTGCCCGCATTCCTCCAAGACAAATTTGTTTGTTCTTCTGGCAGCTCATGGTTTGTTCACTATTTTTAATCAACCTCATAATTCAAAGATATCAGTGCATCCTCAGTTTTCCTTATTCGTTGTCTAGCTTTCACACATGCAAATGAGATGAATAAAAATACCAGGGCTAGGGTCGGGCGTACTTTAGTCCTCAAAGTGACAACTTTGCAGTTTTTTTTAAAATATATATTTTAAAGAAAAAAACCAAAAAAACCCCAAACAAATACTGAAAAAATACAAATTATCCTCTCAGACCACAATGCCATTAAACTAAGAAGTCAACAACAAAAGGATAAAGGGTAATTAAACCACCCATGTAGAAGCTAAATAACAGCTTGCCTGAGCACTATTGGGTTTTAGAAGAAATAAAAGTTAAATAAAAAATTTCTTTGAGAGCAAAACCCACAGCAGAGAACCAGAGACCAGGCATGAGATAAAATTGACCTTGGGACTCCTACCTCACAGAATCAGAGATAAAAGCCTTTGCCCAAGTTTGTTTCATGTCAAGGGAGAGGAGCTGGGAAATAATTGTGTCAAGACACTGGGCCAAGGGCAGGGACAACTCTATAAGTAATGGTTAACTCCACTCTGGGGGATTTATCTTTCATTTTTCTATAAATTTTTTGTCTTCCGAAATAGCAGGCTCTGAAAACCCTATGTACAACAGAACACATGTAGACTAACAGAGAGGGCAACAGAGGTAGATCTTTCAAATATGGAAATACAAAGGAAGAGGAACAGTTGTAAGGAGACACTAGTGATTGGAACATGGAATGTGAGAACCATGAAAGTAGGAAAATTAGATATTATTAAGGAAGCAATGAAATGCATAAATATTGACATACTAGGCTTTGGTGAGATGAGATGGACTGGCATGGGGCATTTTGAGACAGATGATTATATATTACTCTGGAGATGAAAAGATGAGAAAAAGTGGGGTTGCTTTCATAGTTAAAAAAGTTATTTCTAGATATGTCTTGAAGTAGAACATTGTGAGTGACAGGATAATATCCATATGCTTACAAGGAAGTCCAGTGAATACCATTATCATTCAGATATATGCACCAATAACCAGAGCCAAACAGATGATTTCTACCAACTTTTACAGTCGGAGATTGATCAAAAATGCAATCAAGATGCATTGATAATAATGGGTGACTGGAATGCAAAAGATGGGACAGAGAAAAAGAATCAGAAGTGGGAAAACATGGAGTAGGTGACAGAGATGAAGCCGGAGATAGAATGATTGAATTTTGCATGACCAATGACTTATTAATTGCAAATGCGTGTTGCAAGAAACATAAACGCAGGTTATACACATGGATTTCACCGGATGGTATGCATAGAAATAAGATTGATTACATCTGCGGAAAGAACCACTGGAGAAGCTCAATATCAGCTGTGAAAACTAGGCCAGGAGCTGATTGTGGAACAGATCACCAACTACTCATATGGAAGTTCAAGCTGAAGCTGAGGAAAATGAATCTGAATCCACAGGAACCAAAATATGACTTTGAGTTCATCCCACCTGAATTTCAGAACCGTCTCAGGAAGAGGTTTGAGGCCTTGAACACTAATGAGCGAAGACCAGATGAGTTGTGGGAGGATGCCAAATGTATCATCCAGGAAGAGTGCAAATGGTCATTACAAAAAAAGAAGAGGAAAAAAAAAAAGACCAAAATGGATGTCAGAAGAAACTCTGAAGATTGCACTGCAGTGCAGAGAAGCCAAAGCACAAGGAAGAATTCAAGATAATAAAGAGCTGAACAGAAGATTCCAAAAGGCAGCCTGGGATGACAAAGCAAAATATTACAATGAAATGTGCAAGGAGTTGGAATCAGAAAATCAAAAGGGCTGAACTTGCTCAGCACTGCTTAAGCTCAAGGAACTGAAGAGGAAATACAAGCCTTGAGTAGCTATAATCAAGGATGCTTTAGGCAAAATATTAAATGATCCACGAAGTGTTAAAAGAAGATGGAAAGAATACACTGAGTCACTGTATTGAAAGGAATTGGGAGACACACAAGAATTTAGTGAAATCACATATGAGCAAGAGCCTATGGTGATGAAGGAAGAAGTTCAAGCTGCTTTGAAGGAAATAGCAAAAAACAAGCCCCCAGGAATAGATGGTATA